TTGACAAAGCCGGATAACTCGACTCTCTATTGCTTTTCTTCTCTCATAGATATTGCATCTTTGACTTTGAGGTGTTAACATGCAATGAGAACTTCTTTTGTGAAACTTGAAGGGGGAAAGTAAAAAAACAAAAGACAACAACATGTCAATAAAACTCAAACCTAGTCAGTGTAACTCAAAACGTATGTGTTATAAATAAATAACAGACTCTTTCCTCCATGCCATTTCCTCCTTTTTGGTATGAATAAATCAGGAAATTTTAGTAAAATTGGCACTTTGATATGTTTAAGTAGAAACCCATCATGTTTGTATGATGCTAAATGTGTGTGCTACATGGAGGGACATTGTGGAATGTGAGCTGCGGACTTCCCCCGTGGTGTTAAGCTGCTTTGTCTTTTTGATTTCTTTATTTTAGTTTCTTCTAATGATTTAATGCTCTGAATGTGAATATTACTGTATGGGGTCACTGGATAAAGTCAGAGTTTATCTCTTCTTTTTTGGTCATACTTCCATATTGTGCTTATGCATACAGTATACTGTGGTCCCTCACTTTTCTAGGCAACAGTTCTTACCTTTTTTCTTTAATTTGATATGTAGGATCAATTGGCGTTAGCTTGATCGACCCATTTATCTTCTCACAACTCAAGATCCCACTTGGTAAAAACTGCTTATAATTGCATGCACTTTAAGGACAAATTCAGGTTGTGAAGTGAAGCATGAATCTGTCAGAGATTTTAGCTGTTTGTAAATAAAAGCATTTTTTGTTTTTGTTTCGTTATAAGCCTATGGATACTGGACATAAGCGCCATATTTGATATGATAATTTCACAATTGCCTTTCTTTAAGTTGTGCCTGAAGCGGAGTTAAGTTACGTGTTTGTTCTATCTATATTTTATTTATTGATTTACTTACTGAGGCCGGCACCATTTTGTTTTGGTTTCATCTAAACTTTGTGAATCATTAAATGTTCACTAATCAAAGTTCTTGTAAAGGAAAAATGGTGAGAATTGTGCTGTATAACTTTTGATATGAATATTTGTACATGAGAATATAGCTAGAACATACAGAGACTTTGGTCTATTACTGATAACAGAGCTTAAAAATAATAAAGACTTTGCTTCGTTTTTGTTTCATAATATAGAGATATGGTCATACGATAGCTCAATATATCGCTAAGTCGAATCACTAGACTCTCAGATTGTATAAATGCTGATGAATGGAACCACAGACTTCTTATAATATCAGTATGATGATCTTTATGGGATGGATGCTTCTAAAAGAGCAAATACAACTACATGTGGGTCCAGATTGCATTTGAGTAATTAGTGTCTAATGATCAGATTTACATATTTTTTGCCATGTTCATAATGGTCATTGAACAGGTTGCACAATGTTTCCATTTATATTGAATGGAAAGATAATTGTTTGGTGCTTAATTTCTAATATCACCTTTAGCCTTGTAGTTTTCGGTCTAAGACTAAGAGAGACAATTGATTTTTACAAAATGTAAAACATTCTAAGACCCCCTATGAGTCAAAACAGTCCGAAGTTTTTCAAACACTCATGACGTATTTAGAGTACCCCATGCAGTGAAACACTCGAAAATGAAGTATATGTATGAATAATAAATACTATTTTATCACGGGTCAGTTTTTTGAAACATTGTTTAATGTGGTGGTCTTGAATGCAACCCTGTTACGTTCAGCAGGATCTTTCTCTGTTTTTATTTTTCATTTGAAAGCCACAACTTGTATTAATGTTTGGTCATTTTCCTCACAGGGCTGAAAGATGAAAGCTGTCCCTTGTATTTAAAAAAAAAAGTATTTTAAATGGAGGAATTACAATGACATTAAATTTCTGATGGCAATAGAACTTAAATGCTCTTGTTTTACACGCAGAAACCTAAATTCTGAATTTATTATGTTTGACCAGAGTGTGTTCTGAATTTTGAATGGCTCCTCAAGATTTTTCAGCCTTTTACATTTTCACAAACTTTCTGAAATTTGATGAAAACGTTTCTCATAATATGCAGTATGGCCTTTTGTCTGGTCACGTATAACTGAAGCCTTTGCGGACAAATGGTTCCATAAATAAAAGTGCTATTGGGGTGCTTGAATGAGGTTTGCCTGAGAGCTTCAGAACAGTTATGAACCTTACAATTGTGTGGATTTTACGTTATTACAAAGATGTATTTCGTTAGAATAAAGGGGACTTTCCTAAACAACCTTATTCACCATTTCCTGTGCAGTTCAAAGACAAAATAAAAAGAGATTCTGTGAAAAAAAGGAGTCTCGGTCGACATCCTGCATCATCAAATTGTCAGTGCGTTTCATATGTTGATGAATTTGAATTCCTTGTAATGCTCTCTTATGTGGTCTGGGACTTCTCACTTTTGCTTTTGTTTGGTTTAAAATGACTTCTGTGACCTATGTTGTGCTACTTGTGATGATTTACTGTAAATCTACAAACATGCAGGTCAAAAAATAACCCTAACCCTAAAGGGGAACTAGAGGTGAGAAGGAGCCTCCAGGGTATTCAAGGCTTCCTAGCAGTAAGGGCTTGCTTTAGGTGTTGATTTTGAGTTTTTTTAGCTTGCCTGTTTTGTATTTGCTGGCAGGAATCCAACTGTACAATTTTCTTTGAATTGTCAACGTCTGCAGTTGCCTTCCTCACCACAACCCCTCCTTATTTTACTCTGGGGTAACTGGAAAGCCCCAAGGTTGACAGAAGCGCAGTAAGCTTTTACCTTAAGTAGTGCTGACAGGGGTTGTGGTGTGTTGAGTTTCTACTGACTTTTGTCAAGTAGTCGTGGTTTCACAGCAATGCATCATGCCTCAAACAAAGACTTGATGCCCTTCAAAATAATACAAGATCACACCAGCTATTAAAGAGCATTTTTAAATGCATAGATATGTAGCTTGATCCTTCATATGCACATGAGCCATTGTCCTCTTACCTCATACTTGAGGTAAAAAGTTCATTGTCAGTGTTGAACTGTTGTGTTTTTTGACTGCAGATCATGTAATTCAATGTATCCCACTAATCATTATCAATTCACCACTTCTCAATTGGGCATCAGTAAAAACTCTGGAGTGATATTTGCCAATATTTAAGTTAAAACAACATATTTTATAATAACTCCTTAAATTGTGATACAACAGCTAATGTTAGCATCATCCACATACTAGCTAACATAACGGTTAGCTGGAAGCTGATCAGAACTACACTTTCATTTGCTAGTTTTACACTCTGCAATAGGAAAGTTAGGAATGAAGTTTAACCACTAATGTAGAAATAGCTACTCACTCTAATAGTAGCTCTGTTAATTTCCTTTGATAGATGTCCTTAATTCAGCGTTTATTTGTATAGCGCCAATTCCTAACAAATGTTAGGCTATCTCAAGACGTCTGATGATTTCTTATGAAAGATGGCGGATGTCCCTCCAGAATTTTACTGCATTTTTTTCTTTGAATTTCTCATAAATTAAGTTGTGGTGAGATGATAAACATTTTAAGCCTATGTAGCATTAGCTAGTTAGTGGTTCAGTGCTAGCTGTTGTCTAATACCAGCTTTGTTGGGATCCTTTAAAAGATGGCCCCTCTCTTTTTACTATCAATTTTTAAACCAAGAATGATGTCAAATTGTCTTAACATCTGTATGACTACGAATGAGAACAGGTTAAATATGATCATTCATTATTTGTCCTACCCATTCTTTGTGTGACATCAAAGGAAAATAGCAGCCATGTGAGGGCTAATTAACCCTTGTGATTCAGAAAGCTGGTTTATCATGTCACAGTGTCATGATTCTAGGTAGTTTTTTCCTGATTAGACAACACTTGAAAAACCCAATTTGTGATTTCCCCCTCATATCTTACATAATTATGCCCGAACAAATCACTTGAGGATGCAAAACTATCATCATATGTCATCTTTAAATCATCTTCAGACCGTGAGCACAGCTGGTCAGATGCATAAACTTGTGGCGTCATTGCACTGACACATCGCCTACATTAGCCAAGCAGACCCCCCCTTTTACGCACTTGTAAAAGTTTCTGATTGAGAAATGCATTTCCGCTGACCCTGGCCGCTTCCTGCTTAGATGCCAACATGGAAATTAATGTTGCAAAAAGACACACAAGGTCTGAGGAGCAGTTGTAACTGTTAAATTGATTTTTATTTTTATTTTTCAAAACAAGGTGACTAAACCTGTCAATATAAAGAGATGGACTAATACTTATAATCGGGGATTGGATTAATTCACACTTTTCCTTCATTTCAAACAATTTAACTTTAAAATACTCACGTCTCATCAAAACGAAGATGTTTATGTTTTTTATGCAGATTTCTTCCTTTGCTCAAGAGTTAACTTTTTATTTACTCATATAGATGCAAACTTTGTTGGTTATCATCTTCTTGGCACCCATATCTGCACGATTTGTGTTTTAATCACCCTAATTAAATCCATTTTTTGTGTTACATTTAACACTATACTTAATTCAATGAACATGTGTTTATGTTGAACTGAATTAACATGTACTCAAGTAATTTACTCTCCATATATAGAACGCAAAACAATTAGTTCATCACCTCACTCACACTCCCTAGAGGGCGGTATGAAATCATGTCACTAAAGTGTGTCAGAGGTTGCTTGACCTCAAATCCTTCAATAATGTCTGAGATCTGTCTGAATAAAGTAGGAAATGTCCCTCCTGGGATTTCAAAGTATCATATTCTGTATACTGTATCTTTCCATGCACAAATAAAAATGATTTCTATTAAAAATGCTACACTTTATAGTCAGACACGTAATAATGAAAGGATTACGTCCATACATGCCTGCTCACACACGAGGCATGTAGGGACGTTACCCACTTGTTATAATACAGAAGGAGAAAAAAAGTGTACATGTGAAAAAAAAGGAGGAAATTCTGGTAAATTTGGTTGCCTCACAAAGTGCACGTCATTTCCTCCTATGACAAATGTGGTTTCTGTCTTTTACAAAAGTTTTAAAGGAGTGTGATCATGACCAGTCCTTGCAATTTGCCTGTGATACCGAGTGGAGAATGAATGGTCATGTAAAGAGTATGCATTTTAGACAGTTTATGGAACCAGCAACAAGTAAGTTTTATAATAATTATCTAAGTATTCTTATCTAAAAAGACAAAACTAAATCTTAACTTTTGTTTGTGCATGCAGTTGTGGTTATTTTGTGTGACTATGTCTGAAGTCTGACTGAAGTTTCAGATCGAATTTTACTTCATGGTTTATTGAACAAAGTTTCATATTTCAGAATCAGTAAAGTAAAAAAAATTTTTTTTCTAGGCAAAATCTAAAGAGGCTGGCAATGCTCCACATCTTAATAAACCTTTTCCAGCCTTTAAATGTTTGTACAATTTTAATCTTTACTATATTAGAAGCTGTTTTTTTTCTTTTTTTTAACACACCTAAAGAATAGAAGATTCTATTTTTATCCCTCCTGCCATAAACTTGTGGCTTTACATCGAAGTTCCCCTGACCGACGGGATGTAGGAGAAACTAAACTGACCAGTTTCCTTTCTCCTCAGCATTACTCTCTCTCCTGCTGATTATGGCTGTTGATTCAACCCGAACTGTGGCAGCAAGCAGAAACGAGCAGTGTGGGAATTCTCTGCAACAGACTCTGAAGCTCACCAGACTCGTACAGAAGGAATCTGTTGACTTAATCAAAACATATGTGAGTATAGACATAAATCTGCTGTGTATTATTATTTTCTTTGCTGACCTTTTTACCTTCTTAGTAACTTGCCATTCATTTTCCTCTTTCAAATATGTGGATTATTTACATTTTATGCTTTGTTTGTCTGCAGAAAGCCTCTCAAGGAGAAATATCAGAGCTCCTCTGCAAGGTGTCTGTCTCCAGCGTCCCTGACCCCAACATCTCAGGCCTGGAGCCCTCAGAGAGAATAGTGAGCATCTACACACACCTCCAGGCCTTCGTCCCACATTTCAAACGTGTGTACGAGCAGCAGACGGACTTACAGTTGCCCACCAGCCCGCTGCTGGCCAGGCTCACCCGTGTCAGCACTCACAGCAGGAATCTGGCTACTCTTGTAAACCTCTTCTATCAGACCCTCTTCCCAAATGTTCCCATACCGGAGCCGGCGGGGGGGCCGACAGAACTACCTCCACCTCAGAATGTGTTCCAGCAGAAAGTCTATGGATGTGTGGTGCTGAAAACCTACAAGGAGCTTCTAGCAAATGTTTCAAGAGAGCTGAGGACTCTGAAAAGCAAAGTGTGCAGGAACAGAAAGAGGATACAAATAAACACATTCTACTTCTGAGGATGACCTAAGGCTGGCCCTAGTGGATCTACTCTCAACAACAATCATACTCATGTGTTTGATAAAGACTTTAAAATATAAGTGAGTATGAAGGTGGCTGGTACATCAGAGTAATGAAGCCTATTTATGGTATTTAATATTTATTTTTTGTTTGGTTCTGATACGGAAGAATGCTGATAAAAGGTCAAGAATGTAAAGGTATCAATATGTAGGTTGTGTATATTTAATTTGTCTAATGTAAGGTTCTCCTTTACTAATGTAAATGTATTGGCTGTTAAAGGATTATTAAAAGTTTATTTACAGCTGTACCTCTTTTGGCTTTTTATTAATTTGCTTGGTTACATCAATAATGGTCAATGTAAGCATCATAGCAGAGTCTGTTAAAGGCAATATGAAGCTTACACATGTTCAGGCATAGCATGCGTCTTCTATAAGCACAAATTACTGGATGACAATATATGTTAATTTGTGTCTCTTTGATTTTGTTAAACAATGTTAAACAATATAAAAATAGTGAATTTGGTGCCTTAAGCTCCATGTGCTGTGTCTTTCACAGACTGATTCCATCAAGACGAGTTAAAAGAAAATCAGGAAGCTGCTGAGACGCTGACTGTGTGATATCAGCTAAAAGTGACGCATGTTTTCAACACAAGGCTGCATCAGATAGGAAAGATTTCATGAAACTGGCGGGCTGTCTGGCCAGTCACAAGGTGTGGGTGTTTGTTGGTCAGATAACTGTATGTTTGGTCTGTACACTTGTATACAGATGGGGATGCAAGTGTGTGAAGGGTGGAGCGTGGAAAACTTAAGAGGAGCAGAAGTTTACAGATGTTTTTAAACAAATGCACGGCATACACAACATGCAAACGTGTCATGTACATGTACGTACATTTACATGTAACATACAAAACCTTCTATTTTTTTGTCAGAATGAAGTAATGCTTAACTAAACTTTCCTCTGATCACAAGCTCTTAGGAAACTGGAAGTAGATGGGGGATTCACTCTAGGTCATGAATCAAGTTCCCTGTTATAACTTGGCTTTATTTAAAGCTCCAACACGGAGGGTACCTGAGGGCAATGGTCACTTTGCATTCTGCATTATTCAATCATCTTCGATAGCAACTTCATGGCATACGAGGCGTCAGGAAGACATTGTGCAAAAACAAAAAATAACTTGTCTCAACATTGAACCTGCTTGTAGATGCTGTAGTCATAGGTGCTGCTGTCGTCAATCCACATCATTTTATGACCAAATTGACTTCTGCAGAATGTTAATATCAGCATGTTCACAAGCTTTGCATGATCATGTTAAGTTGGCTTGTAATGCCAGCTATTTCATGATCGTGATTGAGTATTCTATCAAAAAACTAGTCATGAAAAAGCAGAACCTGGGGCACTGGTGGGGCAGTGGTTAGTGCGTACGCCCCATGTATGGAGGCTGTAGTCATCCAAGCGGACGGCCCAGGTTTAAATCCTGTGGCTTCTTTCCCACATGTCATTCCCCACTCTCTTTCCCTGATTTCCGGCTCTATCCACTGTCCTATGTCTCCAATAAAGGCACAAAATGCCCAAAAATAAATCTTAAAAGAAAAAACAACAAAAAAAACTGAAAAACTCAATTTGCAACTTAATGACTGAGCTGAATGTAAAGTGTTCACCATAAGTACCATAATGCACCTTTTTATTTTTAAAGATCTATTTTTTTGATTTATCATTGGAGAGAAAAGACAGTGAACAGAGTCAGAAATTGAGAGAGAGAGAGAGAGATTGGGAAATGCAGGAAAAGAGCCACAAGGTCGGACCAGAACCTGAGCCGCCTGCCTAATGAAGACCCCAGTCTCTGTACATGGGGCGTGCACACAAACCACCAGGCGCCTCCCACAAATCACTTTGTTGAACAGAAATTATCCATTATTTGTTGAGGAATATCAATTCAAAACAAATTTGTTCTATTATTATTTAAAACGATAAAGAGCTTTATAAATAAAACATTTTGATAATATTCATAATTTATAATCTTAGCTGTAAGAATAACAACTATTATCATTATAGTTAATAGGCAAGAAATGATCCAACAAAGCACTTGATCATATTTTTATTACCTGAAATAACCACTGTGGAAAGCTTTATATCAGGTACAGAGTCATGATCATTTTACATGTTTCACCAGTGGGGGGCGGTGAAGACCCATGACTGAACACAATCCTAGCAGTGCTGGATTTGTATACTGCAATTTACATTCACTGGATAATTCAACCAGAAATGAATCAAGGATTTTGTGGCCATGAAGTTCAGTGTGGTTTACAATAGATTCATGTTCTTGATGTTGTTGCTGATAAATTTTTGTTTTTTTTCTTATTTCTTAACGACACATAAGTAATAATATTTGTTCTTGGAACAAGCATTCAACATTTTAGTTCATTTTTCTGATAGGACATATCTAAAACTTGTGTATTTAGTTCACAAGTATTTTATTTTGGATTTAAGGGATCTGTATTTTTTTTTTAGATAGTTTAAAAATACAAAACTCTTTCATTAAGCATGACAGTCTCTCAGGTTTGATGAATAAAAGGCTGCGACTTGGAGGGAGTTTCCCAAACATGAAACATTGGAAAGAGAAATTCCAAGATTACTGGATAAACAAATGTAATTTCCATGAGTCAATTCTTAGGAAGATTGGAAATCCTGCTATGACTTGAGCGTTTCTAAAGTTCATATTAAGTCAAGTATATTACAGTGTCGGAAACACAAATATTTGGGGTTTTATAATTTAATATTGTTCTTTAGAGTAATCAGAATGGAGTTCAAAATTGATTTTACTAATGTCATATTTACCAATGAAGTTTAACATATTCTCTATTACTTCTTTTGGTTTAGGACAAATCAGATAGTGTCTTTAAGCATTTAATCTTACATGCCAGCACTCCCACATCCTTTTTCATAAGAAACACACATCATGAACTGGAGTAAGATATCTTTCATGGGGTCTTTATTGTGCAAATGAAGCAGAGAATGCACCATGTGTCATATTTGTAACATCAATTAAAGTCAATTATTGCATTGCTATACACACATATATATATAAAGATAAATATTAATATCCCTGATTATTGGAAGTGTTACATATGGCCTTGACATTCATAAATGTTCTTCAAGCGTCCATATGTGCATGCATAGGGTCAACCTGTCTGCTATTCCAGACATGCATTATGTGATTATTGCTTAGTCAAGTTAGTAAAAGCCTGATTGTAATTCACTGAGAATCTCCTTTTATTGCTTAATATCAAACAAACGGATCCTAATACATCTGAAATATACATCTATTCTTGAGATTGCATAGATATATGTAAGTAAGGCATATATTCAATGCAAGCATAAACTAGGTTTAGAAACAGCAAGTGAAACCATGATTCTGCATTCTCAGAGTTTTCCCAGCTGCCATCACTTACATAAGTTCATCGTGTCCGTATAAAGGAAGCGAATGTTCATATTGGATTCAATTTCAAAGCCATTCAGCAACTAAAGAAAAAGAGACAAAAATGAATTGTATAATATTCATGATGATATTTATCTGGTTATTTGTGTGATTTACTTTTTCTTTGAAAGTTTGCAAACAAATCCCTCCTAAATTATCAAATAGTATCATTCAAAACAGCTAAAATCAAGACAATTTAAAGCATGATAACAAAATTATTTATAGAATCATATATTCAGAGTAGGTACCTTTGAGAAATGCTCAAATGTGATTCCCTCATAAAACTCATCAGGTTCCTGCGGGGGAGAAAGTGAATTTACAACCATCCTCCGAACAAAATCAATCCAATTTTCAAAGTTTTCAAGAGATAACAAAGCACATACCATGTGACCCATAGAGATACTGGCCACCTCCAACATGGCGGCATCAGCGATGCTCTGGGCTGTGTCCTTCTCCAGAGTCTCGCTAAGAGATAACAGTTCCTCCACCACCTACACAGAAGAAAACATGAGTGAAAATATTATTGGCTACACAATGGCTAAAAGCTCATGTTAAATGTGGCATCCCCCAAAGCTCAACTTTGGAGCCTCTCTTATTTCACTATACATGCTCCTCATTGGCTATATTTAAAAAGAGAAATTAGTTCTTCAAATCACTGCTACACTTCTGACACAAAGTTTATCTAACTATTTACCTCACATTGTCTGCAGATAAACCATCTACTAGAAAAGTAATATGAATTTTTGCAAATATTCTCCCTCATTTAGCAGCACGGTACACCTTAGATGTTGGAAAAAGCTGAATTTAACAGCCATTTCTGTTCATGACTGCAGAAATATGGGTTTGGTCACAATTACATTTAATGGATTAGGATTCTATTCTCAAATCCAATGGCTAATAATTCATATTCTTTCATTTTACACTAGGGAACTGAACAAGGATATCCAGTCTCAAGCTACTTATTCAACCTCATCATCGATCTGAAAAGAAGATAAAAGGTACAGAAATTGGAGATCAGATACTAAAAATATCACTCTACAGTGATGACGTCATTCTTCATCAGACTCGGACTCTTCTCTCGATTATGTAAATCAGGTTATCAGTCAGTATGGTTCACTTTCACGATACAAAGTCAACTAGAGTAAATGTGGGTTATTGCCACTGAACACACATTGCAGTGTTACATGTGTAAAATATACACAAATAAAATGTAAAAAACAGAGATAAGATACTTAGGACTAAAAGTTACTATCAAACATGAGCTATCAATCTTACACTAACACTTAATAAAATTGTAAACTATACTGTAGATATACGGTAAAATCTTTCTAGAACTCTGGGGCCATGTCTGTATTGTAAAGATGAACATTTTTCCCTCTGTTAACTACGTTTTTAGGATGTTACCTGTCACAATACAAAATACCTGGTTTGAACATTTTCTCAAAATTATTCCAACCTTCATATGACATGGGGAAAAAGGCCCAGTTTAAACCCAGGAATGTATAATACATATAAAAAAAGACAACAAAGAGGTTATCAATTGGAGCAAATGGAAAGACAAAGGAATCACTAAGCTTTGTCACATACTTTCGAACAAATGTTTCAAGATCTTTCCTGATTTAGTCTCAGAACATTGTAACACCGAATGTCAATATTACATCACTATACACTGAACAAACGAATAACATTTTATTTTTTAACACAGCCTGTTCAAAAAAATATATTGTCATAAATTCAAATCAATATTCAATGAAAGCACCGAAGGTCCATTTGAGATATGTGCAAAGACATGGAGCAGAGCTGCAGCTGTTCCAGGCCTACATCTAAATAAA